TTAAATATCTCTTGATTATGTGTTATTGGAAGATTAATATCTGAACACCAACTATAAAGTCTTAAAAAATGCAAACATAAAAAAATAAAATAAGCAATGGTAAGCCTGGTGTAGCTTAAGTAAAGCCTGGCGGGCTGCCAGGCTTACAATGCACTGGAGGAAACCCTGATGTGTTGGTACAGCAGCAGAAACCTCTACAAATCTCCAGTAAGTTTTTGTTTTTCCCTGACATTATGCGGTTGCTTTATTTGCATACTTAATGTTTAGCGCCACTTACAGGCCTGGTGGAGTAACAGCAGCAGTTCGGTGCTGACTGAAGCCGGTTCTGTAATCGGTTCTGTGTGGATGATCATATCTGACCCACACAAATGGGTCAGTGCTGTTCCCCTGAATATGTACTTATTCCTGAGAAGTTTAAAGACACTGTATCAGTTTTATGACGGTTAACTTTGAAATCAGTTTTGATTTTATTCACGTTTAGTTTGTAACCAAACTAAACGTGAATAAATATTCTGGTAGAGATGAAGATCCAACCTTTGTTTCATATTGCAGTTCAGTATTGATTGTTTTTCAGACATGATGATGGAGGGAAACAGCAGAGTTGTCAGTTGGAAGTGTTCAGCTGGTTTCCTGCTGCAGGTTTTTGTTGGACGGTTTTTCACCGTGTTAACTGGGGTACCACTCTGACTGAACCTGCACACACAGCCCAACAAAAACCTCCAGGCTCTCCTGATCTACCTGCTAAACCCTCAAAGCCTCCCATGGAGACCCAAACAACCGGAACCAAGCTGTGTTTCAGGTCAGTTCTCTACATGCTCCTTCATATAGAAAACCTGAAACTTTCCTTCACTTTTCTTCTGCTCACATCTCTGCACTGCTTCTGATCAAAGTCTTGTCAGGGTGAAAATCTCCCTTTAAAGTCCTAACAAACTCATTTAATGCTCCAGGTTTCAGATCTGCACCGTTTGTGGTGGAAGAGGATTTTCGTCCTGGCTGGGCTCCTCTGAAGAGGCTCTCAGGTTTTTGTATGAGGCCGTCAGACTGTGATGCATTGACGTTCGCAAAGCCGATCCAACTCACCGTCTCTCCTCAAGGTAAGAAAAAACACGCCGCCTGGTTGATGCTCACAAACACAAACCTTTACTGCATTTTTAGATTCAAACTTGAATGTTTTATCTTCCAATCTCTGAGCTGGACTCGTCGTTTCTCTGTAAATACGAGCCAAACGAACCGTTTGGGACAGAAACGCTGTGAGGCATGTTCTGATTTATTCATGGCGTCTAAAAGAGCCGAAACTTTAAAAACATTTATGTTGTGCTGTGGCTTTAACTCCAGATAAATAAATCCTTGCCTTTAGTTGTTCCATGTTTTCTTTAAAATGTTTTCATTTTATAAAAAAAACAACTTGATCATTTTAAATGCACATAACGAAAACAGTTCTAAGAAAATGTGTTTTTCATCCAGAAGCTTGAATAAAGGCAGCAGAGTTTCTATCCAAAAATAAATGTTTCAAAATAGTGGAATTAAAGTATCAGTGACAAAATATATTTAATTGATGCAGATAAAGCAATGAGTTAATAAACCTCTGAATGTTTTAGTAACTTTAGACTCTTGGATCTGAAACTGAGTCTGAGAAAAATATTGATTTGGTTTATGAGAATAATTGAGTCATTTTAAAGTGAAATCCACAATTTAGATCAGAAACATGATACAAATAAAAATATTGCATCTCAAACTGTAAATGTTTTGCTCACAGTGGAGATATTATCATCCAGGAGCGAAAAGTTGAACCTGAAGTGCATCAAAGTTATAAAAAACCAAAAATACAAATTTACATCAATTTACTTTCTAAAAAATAAAACAAACTTTGAAATATAATACAGTGTGTAATTTATCTAAACCAGGATTTTGCTGTGAACTTTTAAAATGGTTTAGAACATAAAGGCTCATAAACATAACTGCTTATATTACTTAATAAAATGGAACAAATAAATTAATGTCAATATTTAAAATCTTGGTTGAAGCCCAGAAAAGGAGTAAAAGACACAAACGGAATTAAAACTGACTTGTTTTTATTCCCGTTTGTCAGAATATTCATTCAATCTGTGAATAAATATCAACTTATGGAAGTAAAAATCCACTTTTCCATTAAATCACCAAAATCAGTTTTTAACCATAAATTGTTTGTTTCTGTTTTATTGTTAGTTTTCTCTTGATGCAAAACCAGAAAATTATCACCTGCAGTTTAATATTCAACGTAACATGCAAAAAAATGCTTTAAAAAAATCTGCTAATGAAACTGACCAGATAAAAAATGATCAGTTTAATGCAGGATAATGTAACTAAATCAAAGCTTCATATTTAGGATTGTTTTGCAGTGAAACCTTGGAGCCAGAAAACAGTGAAAATGATGATTTTAATGTTTAATGTATTAAATCAGATGAATTCTAAAACAAACTGGGTTTCATGGCATTTTGTCCAAACCTGAAAATGATCAATAATTAAAGTTTATTTGAATAACTTTATTGAAAATCCCTGCAGTGTTTTTAAGTCCATCGTGGTTCTGTTTAATGTTTGACCCGGTTCTGGTTCCAGGCGGCTCCCCCGTCAGCCCAACCCTCTTCCTCCTCAGTCGCCTGCAGCCTGCCGGTTCCTCCCAGGAAGTCGGGTCCCAGTCGGGTCCAAATGTCTGTCTGGCAGCAGGTTTCCGTCCCAATGAGGGCGACATGGTTCTGGAAACGACGGGGGGTCCGGTCTCGGTGAAAACCAATCCGGCCCGCCTGTCTGCAACCACCAAGACCTACTATTACCCGGCTTCAGCAACGACACCATCAGCTCCTGCAAGCTGGGCGAAGCGAAGTCCAGCAGCAACAAAACAGGTATGAAATACCTGCAGGGTCAAAGGTCAGTGCGGCTCAGAAGATTCTGGACGACATTCAGGAGTTTTTTATCTCTGCTTTTCTCTAACAGATGATCAACCTGACAGGATTTATCCAGGTAAGTGAACACACACCTGTTTACACCTGGACACACACCTGAACACACACCTGTTTACACCTGAACACACACCTGGACACACACCTGTTTACACCTGAACACACACCTGGACACACACCTGTTTACACCTGAACACACACCTGAACACACACCTGAACACACACCTGTTTACACCTGAACACACACCTGGACACACACCTGAACACACACCTGTTTACACCTGAACACACACCTGAACACACACCTGTTTACACCTGAACACACACCTGGACACACACCTGTTTACACCTGAACACACACCTGGACACACACCTGTTTACACCTGAACACACACCTGGACACACACCTGTTTACACCTGAACACACACCTGGACACACACCTGTTTACAGCTGAACACACACCTGTTTACAGCTGAACACACACCTGTTTACACCTGAACACACACCTGTTTACACCTGAACACACACCTGTTTACACCTGGACACACTCTCCTGTTTTAATGATATTTTTGTGGATCTGCTTCCTGGTTTGTGTCTGGATCCAGTGAAAGCCCAGCAGAACTTCTTCGTGCTGCTGATAAGCGGCGTCCGGCTGATCTTCGCCAAAGCTGTGGCCTTCAACACCATCCTGACCGTCAGAACCTTGGTCATGTGACCCCTGGTCGTGTGACCCCTGGTCATGTGACCCCTGGTCGTGTGACCCCTGGTCATGTGACCCCTGGTCGTGTGACCCCTGGTCGTGTGACCCCTGGTTGTGTGACCCTTGTGAGCCGCCGTCCGGACCGACTGCAGAACAAAGGAAGCATCACGGCAGATTTTATCTCCTTCATTTGATGAAAAATAAACCAGAAGGAGAAATGGGACGAAACTGGAGTCTAAAAGTTACAAAATAAAATTTTAGGGTTTTATTTTTTTAAATTGAGCAGCGACTCTGAAAAAAACCAAAGCATAAACTCTCTCCTGATTTATCAACTTAAATTTATTAATTGTTTGCTTCTTACAAAATGTCTCAAAACAAAGTTTGCAAAAGAAAATCACCAAGTGAGAAATGAGGTTATGATGTTTCTGTTTATGAAATATAATGTTTATCTTTCTGCTTTAATTCTTTGACCAGAAACATTTAACTTCATGACTTCATACGTTCACTGGGATGAAACTGTGACATGAAGTTTTTACAGGAACAAGTTTCAAAATGTTGGATTCATTCTTTTAACAGTCATTTGACTGAATCCTTTATTTTTCTCCTAGTTTTGCTTCAGTCTCTGATCTGCTGTTTAATGATTTTAGCAGGTTTGTGTCATGAAAGGCGGCAAACAGCAGGCGTCCCTCACGGCGCGGCTCTCGGTCCTCCGCTTTATTCTCTCTTTGGTTTGATCTTGTTGCAACCAGCAAAGGCTGATTAACTGTCTGTTCATCGGTTTCCTCCTGAGTTTGACCTGCGGCGTCTTCACCGCTCAGCCTGCGTCAGTTTCATCAGTTGGACCACATTTGTGCAGGAAGCTGAAGCTGCAGATAAGATCAGTGAGAAACTAAACGGCAGCAGCAGCTGCAGCACTAGCTGCAGCAGCACCAGCAGCAGTAGCTGCAGCAGCACCAGCAGCAGTAGCTGCAGCAGCTGCAGCAGCTGTAGCAGCAGCAGGAGCAGTAGCAGCAGCAGTAGCTGCAGCAGCAGCAACAGTAGCAGCAGCAGCAGTAGCTGCAGCAAGTCGGTTTCACATCGACAGGAAACGGTCCAGCATCAGCTTCCTCATTCAAACTTTACTCTGTATTCATGTTTTACTTCTCAACAGCTTCAATAAAAATCTAAAAGCCAAACTGCTTTATTGTCTTATATTTTAATGAATAGAAATAAATTCATTTATTAAACAGTTTTATTTTATGAAACAGAGAAACCTGCAAAAAACAACCAGAAAACTTTAAGCTTTTATATTCAGGTTAAAAAATCTGGTTCTGCTTTTAGATTATCCTCATGAATGGATGACAATTTATTTCTGCTCAAAAACTTAAGAGGTCACGATCAAGTCGCGATTGGTGATTGGTGGCGTGTTGATGGCGTGTTGATGGCGTGTTGGTGGCCTGTTGGTGGCCTGTTGGTGGCGTGTTGGTGGCCTGTTGGTGGCGTGTTGGTGGCCTGTTGGTGGCGTGTTGGTGGCGTGTTGGTGGCGTGTTGGTGGGGGTTGATGGCGTGTTGGTGGCCTGTTGGTGGCGTGTTGGTGGCCTGTTGGTGGCGTGTTGGTGGCGTGTTGGTGGCGTGTTGGTGGCGGGTTGATGGCGTGTTGGTGGCCTGTTGGTGGCGTGTTGGTGGCCTGTTGGTGGCGTGTTGGTGGCGTGTTGGTGGCGGGTTGATGGCCTGTTGGTGGCGTGTTGGTGGCCTGTTGGTGGCGTGTTGGTGGCCTGTTGGTGGCGTGTTGGTGGCGTGTTGGTGGCGTGTTGGTGGCGGGTTGATGGCGTGTTGGTGGCGTGTTGGTGGCGTGTTGGTGGCGTGTTGGTGGCGTGTTGATGGCGTGTTGGTGGCGTGTTGGTGGCGGGTTGATGGCGTGTTGGTGGCGTGTTGGTGGCGTGTTGGTGGCGTGTTGGTGGCGTGTTGGCGGGTTGATGGCGGTTGGTGGCGTGTTGGTGGCGTGTTGGTGGGGGTTGGTGGCGTGTTGGTGGCGTGTTGGTGGGTGTTGGTGGCGGGTTGGTGGCGTGTTGGTGGCGTGTTGGTGGCGTGTTGGTGGCGTGTTGGTGGCGGGTTGATGGCGTGTTGGTGGCGTGTTGGTGGCGGGTTGGTGGCGTGTTGGTGGTGTGCACAGCCCCGTTAGGGTTATATTATTTCCAACATGGCGTCTCGCCACAGATGCTCCAACGGTTAGCTGCATTTCTGTAACATGTGCAGAGCTTCAGTCACAATAAAAGGAGGAAAAACCTTGAAGATCCTCAGACGTCTGACCACAACCTGCAGGCAGCTGAGGCAGGACCTCACCTGCAGTCCTCACAGGTAACGATAAGGGAGATGCTAACGGCGATGAGAGAAAATCTAATTCCCACTTGAAGTTGAATGTCTGTCTTCATGTCTCCAATGTTCTAGTTTATTTACGTTTTCTACTTTAAGGTTCTTTAAGTCTGACATCTCCAATGAACGTTGGACACGTTTAGTCTTTCTGATCTGAACTGGGCCTTGAAAATGCAGGAAGTACCGTGCCTGGCCAACAGGGGGCAGTGGTGAGCCTCAGACACCAGGAGCAACATCTGCTCTTCTAGGCATCGATACGACTGAAAACAGACGGATCTCTTCAGGTAGCAGAAGTTTGAACATGAGAAGCAGGATGACGGACGGACGGATGGACGGCATTTAACATCATGCACAGTTTCAATTCTGATCAGAGGTCAGCCAATCAAAACATTCAGATAGTTTAAAAAATGTGACCCTATGAAACATTTCATCTTTCTTGCTATTTTATCAACTTACGTTATTAGTCAGAATTAAAACGGCTTCTGTTGGATTTTAGATTTGAACATCAAACTGATGGGATGGATCCTGCGTCTCTTTCTGACGAGGGAGACCGACTGGACCAGAACCAGAACACACGGGTCGGTCCAAACTTTACAGTTTTTATGTTCCAACTCAACAATCTGGACTCATCCGGATGGAAATCAAAACATTTGTGTCGAAGTTTCTGTAGCTGCAGCGATGATTCCAGAACAAACATCGTCTGCATACGGAACAACAGACGACCCAAATGATGCCTTCTGGGTCAGAACCATCTGGGTCAGAACCATCTGGGTCAGAACCTCCTGGCTCAGAACCTCCTGGGTCAGAACCTCCTGGCTCAGAACCTTCTGGGTCGGAACCTTCTGGCTCAGAACCATCTGGCTCAGAACCTTCTGGGTCAGAACCTTCTGGGTCAGAACCATCTGGGTCAGAACCATCTGGCTCAGAACCTTCTGGCTCAGAACCTTCTGGGTCAGAACCTTCTGGCTCAGAACCATCTGGGTCAGAACCTTCTGGGTCAGAACCTTCTGGGTCAGAACCTTCTGGGTCAGAACCATCTGGGTCAGAACCTCCTGGCTCAGAACCTCCTGGCTCAGAACCATCTGGGTCAGAACCATCTGGGTCAGAACCATCTGGGTCAGAACCATCTGGGTCAGAACCTCCTGGCTCAAACCTTCTGGCTCAGAACCTTCTGGCTCAGAACCATCTGGGTCAGAACCATCTGGGTCAGAACCCTGTGGAGCAGCTGCTGTTTCCTCTGCAGGTGACGTTTGGTTCAGAAAACGGGTCACATCAGTTTCCTGCCTTTCAACAAAACTATGAAAGTTTTTTATCTGAAGAGACAAAACTAAAATAAACGACTAAAACTGATCCAGGATCCAGAACATGAGCCGACCAACCGACTGAGTGCATGGTGCTCAGAGAAATCCCTCCTTCATCTCCTTCATTAAGTTATTATTTATGAACAGATAACGGGTCTCAGGTGAACCTTCATGCAGATCATAGTTTCGTTTGGAGATGCTGAGTGAAGCCAGGATTTACAGGTGATTCTGAATTTACCTGAGATTTTCTTTAAGCTTCACAGAAACGTCTCCAGATTTGGAAACGTCCTGAAGCGTCCCGGCCTGCAGCTTTCTGAGTGGATGAGTTGCTTTGTGAAACGTACAGGTGGAATTTCTGCTGGGATACATCCTGGAAGTTCCAGGAGACTTTCCAGGAGACTTTCCAGGTCCTTCTTCCCTGTCACTGTATTTCACGTAGAGACGCTTTAAGGACCGATCCAAGTGCTGTCGATTCATTTCCAGGCCCTGGCGGTTCGACGGAGGCGGAGCCTGAGCCCAGAGACGCCTGATTGGCTCACGACTCGCTGGCGCCCCCATCAGTTCATCCTGGGACCGTTTGGACTTTAAACGTGGGTTCGGTTCCTCGATGTTCTGGATTTCAGAGGAAGAGACGATGCAGGTCAGATTTTATTTTTATTCAAGATTCTATGAAAAGGTGAAGAAAAATATGAATTTATAAACTTAATTTATGAACAGAATTTATGACTAATGGAAAACTTGGTTCTGAAATTATAAAACACTGAAAACAAAAATACTGACTCCCAAAAATAAATATAAATGAACCAACTGACGATTTGGACAAATTGAAGGTTTTATTGGTACAGATTAGGACCAGATAATCCAGATTATTGGCCTCTGAAGGTCACCGCAGTTTTTGTCACTGTTTTTATTTCTGTGTGAATCAAGGAGCTGAAAAAATGTATTTTGGAAAAGGAACCAAACTGAGAGTAGAGAACGGTAAGAAAATATATCCTGGTCAAAACTGAGCTTTAGCTCATTTTATAGATTTATTGATCATTTTCCCAGATTATAGATGTTTGATGGACAGATTGGAAACAAAGAAGAAAATTAAAGTAGAACTGAGACAAACAGAGAAACTGAAGAACAGAAACGCAGCAGTTTGTGCCTCAGTCTGACTCGATGTGTGACTCAGGGAGGAAACTACAGGATTTACTTTGGACCCGGAACCAAACTGTCTGTAGAACCAGGTCAGTCGGGATTATTTCAGTAACGTCTGGAGAATTATTCAGTTTTTATTTTGTTCATTGAGTTTTTAACACTTTCACGATGGAAACTAAACTATTAACAGCAGAAGATGAAAATCTTTTCTTTTCCAGTAATAATTATTATTAAAGTTGAGTTTAAATGACATCAGGAGGAATAAAACACAAAGACTTGAACCGGATCGGTTTCCCTCAGCACAGGAAACAAACTCTGCACTGAAGCTGGTGAGAGGCAAACATTTGATCTCACTTTCAGATGAATTCATTTTAGTTTCTGCAGCTGCAGAATATTATAGAGAAACGTCGGATTACAGGAGAGAGAAGCAGCTGGACATTAAATCCATGTTTCATCGTTTTAATCAGAATTATCAGAAAAACTGGAAAAAGTTCAAACTCATCAAATGAAGCAGGAATAAAACTAGAAACTTACAAAACAGAAAAACCAAGAAAATCCAACAGATTCATGATTATTATTACGGAACTGGATCTAAAAGCATTTAAAAGATTGAAATAAAGTTCTATAAAAATAATTTAATGATGATTAAAATGTTTCTGTTTGGTAAAATATTAAAAACTGGATCCAGCAACAAGAAAAAGAACCAAGATGGAACCGGGCCGCGGAACCGGTCCGGTTCAGATCAGACCCAGTTTGGCTTTAAAACCAGGAAGTTCTGCAGAACCTGACAGAGTCCAGATGGAAACGGACCTTCAGAACCGGGTTTAGGCTCAGATCCCAGCCGGTCCTGAGCTGGTTCCCAGTCCGGCCCGGTTCTTGCTGAGCCGTGCGTCTCGGTGGGACCGCTCAGGGTCGATACAGAACCGTCTTTGGACCGGGAACCGAACTGTTGGTTCAGAACCGTGAGTAAAACTTTCTGCTTTTCTGCTTCAAAGAAAAAAACGGAGAAAATGATTTTCCTCCCGAGGTTTTAAGACTTTATTTGATCTTTTGAAATGATCAGTTATTGTTATTGATCCATCAGCTGTTTGACTGATTTACACTCGTTCATTTATTGGACCAAGAAAAGCAGAAAACGTTGACCTGCTTCATCGTTTTCTCCGTTTCTGCGTCGCTGGATCAGGTTTCATATTGATCCAGAATATCGGATGTTTTTGCTGAGCGGTGCGTCGCAGTGTGACAGGAAACGCTGAGCGGCTGAGCTTTGGACCCGGATCCCGGCTCCTGGTTCTGTCCGGTGAGAAAACAAACGTTTTAAATTGTTTCTCTGACTGAAACGCTGTGAATCTCAGATCCAGTTCGATTTGATTCAAAGATCCTGGAAAGATCAGAAAACGTTATTCCAACAGAAGTTCATGACGAGGCTTTGATCGATCAGAACCGGACCTGGTTCTGGTTCTGGTTCTGGTTCTGGTTCTGGCTTCAGTCACAGTGTGAAGGGAACCGCTGGCCGGCTGCTGTTCTCTGCAGGAACCCGACTCGTCGTCGCTTCAGGTCGGTTCAGGTCGGTTCAGGTCCAAAATGACCCGACCCGGTTCTGATGATGCCTGGTTCTGGTTCTGGTTGTGGTTCTGGTTGTGGTTCTGGTTCTGGTTGTGGTTCTGGAGCAGACCGACGGGTCGGATTCAGTTTAACAAATAAAAACGAATCAGAAAAACTTTAGATTGTTAAACCAGAACTGAAGATTTTCAGTTTTTTTCCTTCAGATCTGAAAAGTGTGGAGAAAAAAAATTGAGACAAACTGAAATTTTCTGTGAATTTAGATTTTTATCAAACTGAAATGATCACCGAGTTCTGGAGCGTCTGGACCCGGTCGGTTTTTGTTCTGATGTTTCCTGGTGTGTGAATTCTGGTTCTGCTTATGGGAAACTGCTGTTTGGACCCGGAACCCGACTCACCGTTCAGAACCGTAAGTTCTGTTCTGGACATTTTGGTCCAATTATTTCAGCAACAGGAGCTTGAAATTTGAACTTCAGGGACCGGTTCTGATCTGGGACCGGTTCTGATCTGGGACCGGTTCTGATCTGGGACCGGTTCTGATCTGGGACCGGTTCTGATCTGGGACCGGTTCTGATCAGGGACCGGTTCTGATGCTTCAGAACCTCTGGCCCGTCACTCTGAGGCTGTTTGGGTTTAAAGACAGAATTTTTTTTAATAACTTTAAATTTGGTGAATAAATTTAGAACTTCTGAAAGTCCAAACGGGCCTGAGTTCTGGTTCTGGGTTTCAGTTCTGGTTCTGGTTCTGGTTCTAGTGTTCGGTTCTGGTTCTGCTTCTGGTTTTCGGTTCTGGTTCTGGGTTTCGGTTCTGGTTCTGGTTCTGGTTTTAGTTCTGGTTCTGGTTCTGGGTTTCGGTTCTGGTTCTGGGTTTCGGTTCTGGTTCTGGTTCTGGGTTTCGGTTCTGGTTCTGGGTTTCGGTTCTGGTTCTGGGTTTCGGTTCTGGTTCTGGTTCTGGGTTTCGGTTCTGGTTCTGGGTTTCAGTTCTGGTTCTGGTTCTGGTTCTAGTGTTCGGTTCTGGTTCTGCTTCTGGTTTTCGGTTCTGGTTCTGGTTCTGGGTTTCGGTTCTGGTTCTGGTTCTGGGTTTTGGTTCTGGTTCTGGGTTTCGGTTCTGGTTCTGGGTTTCGGTTCTGGTTCTGGTTCTGGGTTTGGTCGGCCGTCTGTCACTGTGTGACGAGAGGAAACAACCAGATGCTCTTTGGAGACGGAGTTCTGCTCCGAGTCCAACCGGGTCAGAACTTTATGTGAATTTCCAGTAAAATGAGCCGAGCTGGTTCTGGTCGTTTGGACCAGGCTGCTCCGTGAACCGGGTCTCTGTCTGAACCCGATCAGAACCTGGGCTTGTTGGATTTATTAATGAACAGAAACCGTTTTGCTGGATCTGGTTCTGGTTCTGGACTGAGGTCCAGTTAAGGTTCTGGTTCTGGCAGAATTTGGGTTTCTGTCTGAAAATAAAACGGTTCCGAGTTTGTTCTCCTCTAGAACCTGCAGTCGGAACCGGCCCGTTTGAGCCCGCTTTGTGGTTTCAGCTTCTCTGAGAGGCAGAACCAGAACCGACCCGGTCGGCTGGGAGAACCGTTTTGGTTGGTGACGGGTTCTGGTCGGGCTAAAGTCATGAACGGCACCAGGTTCTGTTAGCGGTTCTGTTAGCGGTTCTGGAGGAACATGGACAGTTTCAGAACCAGGAGAACCGGGCCTTTCATCTCGGAGTCGAATAAATTCAGATTTTCTCTCCGGTTCAGAATCCAGCTGCTGTTTGGACCAGAACCAAAGCCCGGTTTGGCCCAGCGGTTTTTGTTCTGAAGCTTCTTGTTGTGTGAAATCTGGAGCCGTCGATAAAGTTCTGTTCGGTTCTGGAAC